AACATTCATTATCTTATTTGAATAATCACTTTAAATTCATGTTAAATCTATATAATAATTTGGGAAGAGTTAGTTTTTTAAACCACGATCATGGTACGCCTGCTTTCTTGAACTTGTCAATTTTCTTCAGATAGGTCTGAGACATTTTTGTTGGGGTTATTACTACATACTTATGTTTTATGGGTTTTGTAAATTTTTTTACATTATATCTTTTAAATGGCTACTTCTGGGATAAATAAAAGGTATTGGTTAATTTTTACTTTATATCCCACTACTTTTTTAGCACTCATTAGAATTCTATCAGCTAAGAAGTTGTTTTTAAGTCTTAGCTTTTGTAGGTATGTAAGCCTATCTTCTAAAACTTGACCTTTTTTTTTTTTTTGTCTCCTCCTTTCTGTTGGTTATGCTGCTTTATTGACACTGGCCAGAATTTATTTTAAATAATGATGACTGTAAGCATCTTTGTTTTGTTGCTGCTTATGGAACTACTCCTATATTACATACTGGATTGTTGGTTTTAGAGAGAAAATTATTTTTCTTATTAAGAGAGCAAGTTTCTTTGACATTTTTTAAAAATTTTTTTAAGTTATCTCTACACTCAACATGGGGTTTGAACTCACAGCCCTGGGATCAAGAGTCACATGCTCTATTGACTGAGCCAGCCAGGCACCCCTCACATTTTTATTCTTAAAATGGGCACTGCATTTTTTCAAACACCTTCAGCACTTTTTTAAGATTTTTTTTTTAAGTAATCTCTACACCCAACATGGGGTTCAAACTCAAGACCCTGAGATCGAGTCATGTGGTCTACTGACTGAGCCAGCCAGGTGCCCCCCCTTCAGCATTTATTTTTTTAATGAGATCTATTGACACGATGCATCATATAACTTTCATTGTATTAAACAATTAACACTCTGGGATAAAACATTCTTAGTCACAAGGGGTCAATTCTTTGCATATATTCCTAAATGTGTTTGGTTTATATTTTATTTAGAATCCAAGATTGATCTATAATATATACACACAAACAAGCAAAATTTTTCTCAGGTTTTGATACCTGATTTATGCAGCATTATAAAATGAATGGGGCAGTTTTCCATCATTTTTTATGCTCTCAGTTTATTTAGTATCAGAATTATCTGTTTCTTTCAAAGGAGTCTTATTCATAATAAAGATTGTAACAGTAGGAAATCACAAGTCGCTGATTTATAAACCAGGGGTCATACAACTAGTTCCTTATGCCTTGTGAGGTATGGCTCAGGTTATAATTCAGATCCCTTGTCATGTACAAAGGTATTAATTTAAAATTAAAACTACAGAGACTTTTATAAAGTGTTCTTATTAATTATTCAGATTCTATGTCAAATCTAGGACATAAGTTCATTTCTTTGGTTTCCGGTCAAGAATGCACTTATAATGTGAGGGCTACAACCATAAAACTTCAGGAAGAAAGTCTAAAATTTGGGAAAGCACAGATTTCTTGGGTAAGATGCAAAAAGCATGAGTATAAAAGAAAAAAAGATAAATTGAACTTCATCAAAATTTTAAAAATTCTGCACATCAAAAGACACAAATAAGAAAAACGGGATAGCAAGGCACAGATTGAAAGAAAGTATCTATAATGCAACATATTGAAATATTCAGAATAGGCTTAAAAACTCCTCAAACGATGGGGCGCCTGGGTGGCTCAGTGGGTTAAGCGTCTGCCTTCGGCTCAGGTGGGATCAAGCCCCGTGTCGGGCTCCCTCCTCAGCGGGGAGCCTGCTTCTCCCTCTCCCCTGATTGTGCTCTCTCTCTCTCTCTCTCTCTCTCTCTCTCTCTGGGTCAAATAAATAAAATCTTAAAAAAAAAAAACAAAACTCCTTAAACGCAAAAAGAAAACAACCCAATTTTTTTAATGGGCAAAGGACCTGAACAGATGAAAATATTCTCAAAATCATTACACGAAGAAAATGCAAACTGAAATTCATTATGAGAAACCACTACACATCCAAGAGAATGGCTAAAATTAAAAAGGCTAACAAGGGAAGCCTGGCTGGCTCAGTCAGCAGAGCATGTGACCCTTGGTCTCAGGGTTGTGAGTTCAAGCCCCACCTTGGGCATGGAGCCCACCTAAAAAATAATTAAATTAAATTGAAATGCTAACAATACCAAGAGTTAGGGAGGATTCTCACTTGTCACTGGTCAGAGGAGAAAATGATACAATCACTTTAGAAAAGTCTTTGGCAAGGGGAGCTTGGGTGGCTCAGTCGGTTAAGTGTCTGACTCTTGATTTCGGTGCAGATCATAATCTCAGGGGCCTTGGATCGAGCCCTGCATCAGGCTCTGCATTCAGCACAGAGCCTGCCTGTCGCTCTCCCTCTGCTCCTCCTCTGGCTCGCTCTCTCTCAAATAAAGAAGTGAAATCTTAAAAAAAAAGTCTTTGGCAGTCTGTTAATGTTAGATAAATTATATATACATATTTAGTATATGTTACATAAAACAAATTTAATAAATTAAAATAAAATAAACTTAATAAATAATTTATATATGTTCATATTTTAGGGACATATTCCAAGGAAATTTTGTGGCTATATATAGCCTCAGAAAGATTTGTACAAAAATGTCAAGAACAGCTTTATTCATAACAGTCAAATAATGGAGCAAATTAAATAACTAGGAACAAGAAAATGGATAAACAAATTGTGGTATAGTTAAAAAAAAGGGGGTGGAATGCAACACAGCAATAAAATAGAACTACTGATACTGGCAGGAATGATAAATTTCAAAATCATTATTTGGAACTAAAGAAGCCATACACAGTGTCTGACTCCATTTACACGAAGTTCAAGAAGAAGCAACATGGGGGCGCCTGGGTGGCTCAGTTGGTTAAGCGTCTGCCTTCGGCTCAGGTCATGGTCCCAGGGTCCTGGGATCGAGCCCCGCATCCGGCTCCCCACTCAGCGGGAAGCCTGCTTCTCCCTCTCCCACTCCCCCTGCTGTGTTCCCTCTCTCTGTGTCAAATAAATAAATAAAATCTTAAAAAAAAAAAAAAAGGAGAAGAAGCAACACTAATATGCTAGTCAGCATACTTGTTCTCTTCAGTAGGGGTAGAGGGGAGAGAGACTGGAAAGGGGAAAGAGGTAATTCTCTGGAAGGATGGAATTGTTTTATATCTTGATCTGAGTCGTGGTTACCTGGATGTATGCATGTGTAAAAAACTATCGTGATGTATATTTAAGTGTTTGTGTATTTTATTGCACTTAATTATATCTCTATAAAAAGAAAGATGTATATTTAAGTGTTTGTATGTTTTACTGCACTTAATTACACCTCTATAAAAATAATGGAAACAAATTCAAGAATGCTATAAATAACTACCTCAGTTACTGACTTGACCTTTGGAAATCCTGCCCTCCTACTCTTTCCTCTTCCAAATGTGTGATACAGACCCTCCTACTCAGCAGTGCTTGGACTCTGCAGACTCAACTCACCAGTAGGAATTCACCCCCCCACACATTACTCTTTTCTTCTCTCTTCTCATCCAACATGGCCACACATTATTCATGCTAGGATTTCCTTGCTTTCTGCGTCGCTGAACAAGTTTACCTTACAGCCCCTTGCCCACATGAGAGTACACATTCCAACCAACAGGCACCCATCATATGATGTTTCCGTAATAGGATTATTATGTAAAATCCTTAGTATGGTATCTGGCAAGTAACAGTGACTTCATATATGACCCCTTCCTACTTGAAACTCTCCCCTCTTTTCTTATTCTTTTAAGACACACCTATTTTAAAGCATATCAGAATTCAGAAACACAATACTGTATTTCAAAATAGTTAAAATCTCACATTTACATTTCAATAGGAGCACCAATATTCCATGCATTATTTGCCAAGCTCTCTCTCCACACCCCACAGACACTTATTTAATCCTCAAAACAACCCTGAGATGTAGGTAATACCATCCCCAATTCATAGATGAGGAAGTTAAGGCACTGAGCAATTAAGAAATTTGCCCAAGACTAGACAACTAGTAAGTGTCAGAGCCATGATATAGACAATTCCCGCATATTATTTCGAAGGATTCACTCAAACCATGCAATTCAACTACTGGGAATAAGGGATACTCTTTCGCACCTACAAAGCAAAGGCTATATTTCTTTAAACCATGAATTTAAAATCATAAGTTGTCAGAGAAAGTTCGGAATTTCTTATGACTCTCTGAAAAAGTTTTAACTGGATTTTTAAATAACAGAAATGTACAATCACAGGGCAATACTATTTAAAAAAACACTTGGTTGACATCCATATGAAGCTTTTAGCTGTGTTGCAGTAGTTTTATTTGATTCAGTAGGGCAACAACCGCCTAGTGGTAATCAGCATTTCATGGGGTATGGCTACACTGCGTCTCGCATTAAATATCTGGAGAAAACTGAAGCTTGTTTTTCGTTATATTGGTTCATCCGTTCATGTGGGTTGAGGCTGGGAAGTTTATAATTAGTTTTGGGTTATAAAGTTATGGCCATTGTTAATGAAAAGAAACTTCCTTGATTGCTATATGTCAGGCATACTCTGGTGGGTGTGTTTACGAAGAGTACGTTAATATAGAAGAAAATAAAGTGAATACTGGTCACGTGAGTCCCATGAAAAAAAAATAAAAATAAAAAAATACTTGGTTGAGACATCTGTTCTTAAGCAACGGATACCTGTATTTATTCACTGACATGCTTTAAAATTAAAAAATCAAGTCAATAGCTCCATTTACTGAATGTCATGTGATCACAATTTACACCAATTATGATGTCTAATTACATTCTCTATTTTTTCATTAGCTCAGAACACACGGTTGCTAACATGCTCTTCATTCCATCTCTTCGTCATTCTTATATTCACTCATACAGCAAATATTTTATATTATTCCAGGCATTCAACAAATAGCAACTATGTTAGGTATATAAATAGGCAGGAGAGACATTATATAACTCATAAGGTAAATTGCTTCCATAAATATACCGGTTACGGAGTATTGCAGCAACTGATTCCCCTCTATGAAGATGATCCATCACCTCTAACACTTGGATAATGACCTGTTCAGGAGGAAAAGAAGTCAATATTTACTATAAAAATCAATACTAGAATTTTCAAATTATGCTATCCATGTAATATTTTATATATTTGGTGACAGAAAGACAAAAAATGTATGTCTGTGTTCCCAATGTCCATATTCTAGCTTATGAAAATTAAGAAAATGGAGAACATTGAAGGAACTGAATCTGCCACAGTCAAATTAGCTACAAAATTCCATAGTGGCTCATTAAATAGCACTGACTGCATTTCTGTGAAATCATTAGAATAACAACCAAGCAAATGGGAAGCTGGATTAACCCTGAGGAGACCTGAGGAGTCTGGGTGAAGTTAGGAGAGACAAGAGAAGTTACAGGTGAAGAGTTGAGGCAAACATTTGCCAAGTAGAGACACAGACAGCACTAAATTCCGAGTTACCAGGAGCACATGAGGCCTCAAAAGCCATAATCAGGGCCCAGTTTTAGAAGTGGTTGGTCAAAATTAAGGCTAGAAAGGCATAGAAATCTTAAAGACATAAAATAGGTAGTGGGGGTTGTTTTCTTGATCTGGACTGAATTTTTGTTTGGTTGGTGGTTTTTTTATGGAAAAAGAGCCGGTGAGGTGGTAGCAAGCTAAATCTAATATATTGTCTCTAGTCATGTGATTGCTTTGCATTGGAGATGTATATTTCAAGGGTTCTATTCATTTCAAATACACTGGGAAGCAGAAAGGTATACTTTACTTAAATATTTCTTGTTAATAAAATCAATTTATTGCACTGGGGAGATAAAAATGTAGAGTATGCAATTTAGTTTGTTCATATAATTATGCTTGTTATAAAGCTATGTGAAGACCTAAGATAATTAAGTCAGAGAAAAAAGGTTCTCTTCATTGTTCCCTGCCCCCTCCCTGTCCCTTAATTTGGGGTCAGAGCAAAAGATACAGAAGGGGAAAAAGTACTCTATTTCTTGGGTCTTTGTAATTCTGAAAAAGAAACAAATCAAATGATAATTTAGCATTTTTATTTATTTACACAATCGTATTTTCTGTTATTACAAGAAATTGAGTAGCCTAAATGAAAAAAAAAAAATTCTTAAGCATCTCGAAATCAACTGACCTTTGGACTTATCTTTTCTAAAAATGCTGAAGTGGTGAGAGAATTTTAAGGTGTTGAGAAATTTTAATTTTTTTTAGGCTACACAATTTTTTAGAAGATGTGCCAAGAGATAAACAAGCATATCTAGATTATCATTAGGAATCTGGGAATGTGAAAATAAATAACTCTTGCCCCTTTTCATCAACTTGCATCTAGAGTAGAACATAGAAGTCCCCAAACTAGGTATTCAAACTCTCACTCAGTCCCACGGTTTCAACCAATCTACCTGCCGCATCTCAGAGTCTGGGGCTCTCGCATTCAAATTCTCCAGATAACAAACCTCTGGTCTCCTGAGGAGCAGGGAGTGGATGACAGGACATGGGACTCCAGCCATTTACTATAGAGACTTTCAAGGAACAGCCCACATTGTCAATCTCAAGACTTATTCCCGCCTTCCGCAGACCAGATGCCCCCAAATCTTGAAATATTAGGAGCTGTATGGGAAGAATTAGTTGGTTTCTCTCAAAAGTTCGTGTAGGGGGAGATTCTCAAGTTGTTAACTTCCTTTGACTAAATAAAAAATTAGTTTAAACCTTGCAATTGTCAGTGTTGCCCCTCCTGTTCTCTTTGTCCTTTTGAATCTTTCCATTTCTTTAAGTCTCATTTTAATGAAGTTAGGAAGGGAGAGGAAGTAAACAATGTAAACAATGATCCATTAAACACAAGATTTAACTAAAACCAGCTGTTTTTCAATCAGGGAATCTATATGATCAAATCTATGTATTAGAAAATTGACGCAGCTTGCAATGTGGGGGTAGATCAGAGAGAGAGAGAGAAACTGGAAGTATGGGGACCAGTTAAGAAACCACTTCTACAGTCAAGGCATGAAATAAGAGCACAGACGAGAGCTATGGGAAAAGCCAGGGAAAACTAGGATTTCGGACTGAAAGATCATTGGTAGATACTAAAGCGATCAAGTGACATCAAAGACAAAATCTATTTACGTAACTGGGGGAACTGGTAATGATAGCAGGTGAGGCAGGGTAGAGAGAAGAAGGAAAAATATCAGAAGGAAGGAGAACAAGGGTTTGGTGCAGACATACCCAAGTCCCCTAGGGCACGCCATATAGCAACTAATAGAAAACTGGATATATATATACCCAGATTTAGACTGGAACTAGAAATGAAAATATGAGGATATTCAGCCAGTTACGTGAGTGCTGAAGTAAAGAGACTGGGAAATATTCCTCAGAAGTGTATTTGCCATGAGAAGGTGGAATCCCAAAAACACTGTTGTGCAAGAAACTGAGGAAGATAAGCTAGCAAAGAGAGAGACAGTAGGTAGGAGGGAAACTAAGAGAAATGTGAGATTAAAGCTAAGGAAGGAGATGGGTTCAGAAGAGTGGTTGGAAGGTATTCGACTGTTGCAAGTTCTGTCCAGTCCAAGTAAGATACCAACTAAGTGATGTGACAGCTATAGTCAGTGACTACTTTTTTTAGAGAGTATTTTGAACACAGGTGCACAGAACCACACTGCAGTGGTTTGAAAAATAAAACAAACATAAATGGGTGTGCCTGCCTGGCTCAGTGGGAAGAGCACGCGACCCTTGATCTCAGGGTTGTGAGTTCGAGCCCCACGTTGGGTGTAGAGATTACTAAATAAATAAATAAATAAACTTAAAAAAACACAACACAAATTCTTTCAAGAACTTGAAAGGAACTCAAATTCATCAGGGAATGACTCTATGGTAACGGTGGCCTCCAAACAAGTAAGGGAAAAGAGATGATTAAATAAGTGATTGGGGAAGAATCAGGCAGCCATTTAGAAAAATAAATAAGCTTATACCACTTCACTTCACATTAGGGGATGCTAAATAAATTCCAGATAGATCAAAGATTTAAAGGGAAAAAATGAAACCCTGAAACAGTTCGAAAGAAAACCCAAGTGAAATTATTTATAATCATGTAGTAGAGAAGGTAGGCAGGACCCCAAATTGAGGAACCATAAAAGAAAAAAACTGTTAAATCTGATTGTACAAAACAAATTAAAACTCTGTACTTCAAAAATATCACGAAGTCAAGTGGCATTTGATGAGCTAGGAAAATATATCCCCCCCCCCCACCACATGACAGACAACAAAGGGCTAATGATTTTAACTTACACACACAGAAAATAAAAACAATAAAACATAATAGTAACAGTGAACAAATAAGAGAAATAGGACGTGCACACGAAAAAATACAAATCATTAAAAAACAAATAAATACAATTTAAATTGAGGCATTGGTTCACCTATAAGATTCAAACACACATGCACAATGTCTGTATATCCATTATTAGTGCGAGGGAATGTGAGTTTGGGAGGAATGTTAACTTTTCATTCTAGACTCTTCTGTCCAACTTATTTCAAAATAAAAAAAAGGGGGGATCCAGCAAAAGAAATAAGAAAGAGTGGCCACGAGGTAGGAGACCATCAGGAAGGTACGGTAACCGAGAAGGCTGAATAAAGTGTTACATAAAGAAAGACGTAATCGAGTGTGTCATATACTGCTGAGAGGTGAAGTGAAGAATTGAGAAAAGACGACTCGATGTGGTAACAAGGAGGTCACTGGACACCTTGACGAGAGTGGTTTACATGGAATGGTGGAGAAAATGGCTGCTGAGCACGGGTTCAAGAGAGAATGAAAGGAGTGAAAGGAAACAAGTACATACAACTCTTACCAAGAGTTTTGCTTTAATAAGGAGCAAAAAAAAAAAAAATAGGTGGTAGTTGGAGGGGGGATATCGGGTAGGAGATGTTTTTTATTTTGTTCTGATAATAGGGGACACAATGGCAGGTGAAACCCACAAAAATGGAAACTGAAGAAGTATGATAATATATAAAAATTTCAAGAGCACGTAAGACCATACATAAATGCATACCCACTATATACACATATATGCATACAGAAAAAGCATTAAAATATTCATGGGAATGATAAACTCCCAACTGGGGACAGTGTTACCTGAGGAGAGAGGCAAAATGCTATGGCATCACATAGCTAAGTGGTGGTTATAGGACGGGTTGTGATACTGGTCTCTACTTTTCTGTATGCTTGAAATATTTTAATAAAATGAAACAAAAAAGTATAATACATGATCTCTCCCCTAAAGTAGGGACTGTGTAGATGAGCAGACCAGACATGACAGACAAAGGCCAGCAAATATAGATAGGTGGGTAGAACATTTGCAAAGATTAAGGAAAAAGGCAGGACAAAAACATAAGCAGACATGCATTATAATTAAAAAGACACACTCCTCCACAGCCACGCTACTCTCGTGAATAAAGGGGAAACTAATCATTACTCAGAGCACGCACCTGACAAAGACGTAATTGTGGTTTTGCCCTTAAAATATCCTCCCTAGCTCACCAGAAATAAAACTGACAGGACTGCTTTGGATCGCTGAGATAACTTGCCTAAGTTCAACCAATTTTACTCTTAAGCATTTATTTTAGGTAATTCGCAAATCTAATATTTCACAAGCACCTATCCTATAGTTAGTTGTTATTTCAAATAGAGATTCTAGTTTATGACTTAGCACTTAATTCAGATCCACCGTCTCACTCTGTCCTGCTCTGCCCGAAAACCAACAGTTTTAACAATAATGAGATTTGAGAAAAGCCTAGCCAATTTTATACCACGTAAAGTAAACCCTGCTTATGAGCTAACCTTATGTTACATAAAAGAAATTCAGGGTGGCTATGATCGTCTGCCTTCATATAAAATTTTGTCAAGCACTCTGATAAGAAAAGCTGACAGAAAAGATCAGTGAAAAGTGCTCAACACTACAAAACTGAAAAACTGCACAATGTAGAAAAATTGTACATAATTGCACTTCTCTCAATCAAGTTATATATAGCAGCAGCACCAAAAATTCAGAATCAT